ATCATCATCATCATCATCATCATCATCATCATCATCATCATCATCATCATCATTAATTTCGTTTTAGTAAGAGTTTTACGCACTTACAACACAATACGGTCATATAAGTGCCGAAGATTAGAGGTGTTACAAGAGAGAAACAAACACACACAAAAAAAGAAGGAGGGAGATAAAGGCAATAAATGTTTGATAGGAAAGAAGAAGCAAACCACACCAAAGCACCAGCCAACCACCCACTCACTAATGGAATGACCCTGACAGGAGGATCGGAAACATGCCGCGTCTCGTGAACACCCGTCGGTATTTCGCGGGCGGCGAGGAATGGCGGAGGAATCCTCGGGCAGGCATAAAGACATAGCATATATATATTCAGTCAAAGGAAATGACGTTGTGTAGCAGTAGAAGTCAATCAAGACGGAAGCAGTGACACACAATAGGCGTACTAACAAACGTTGGTTTGGGCATTGAAAAGGTCAGTGCAAAGAGGTTACAGAACTAGAGCCTGTGAACGTGACGTCACTCGTGTAAATGAATGAGAACTGTGTGTGTGTGTGTGTGTGTGTGTGTGTGTGTGTGTGTGTGTGTGTGTGTGTGTGTGAACTCTGGGATGCTGAGCCCTGAGTGCAAGCCCAACAGACAGGTGAGTCTCTTTCGAGACTCACTTAGAGACGTCCAGACAATACATGTATTTAGAAGAAATCCTCAAGTTTGCACAGAAATGTTGAGGCAGTGCGGTGTTTGATTTACAAATGATCGTGGAGAGTGGAAGTGGAACGAAACAATAATATTACAGTTTTGTCTGATAGAGAGAGAGAGAGAGAGAGAGAGAGAGAGAGAGAGAGAGAGAGAGAGAGAAAGGAAGGGGGAAAGAAGAAAAGGAAATAGGTCGAGGGAGGGAGACTTAACCTTCCCCGTTGTTTTATACAAGAAAAATTATGAAATTATGCAAACTGAGCCCAAAAAAGTGAAACTATATGATTCTGTTAATTTTAACAAAGAATGATATTGGAAAATTATCAGAAATTATGAGAAAAAAAATGATCAGATTTTGCTAAATTATATGGGGTGCATAAAACCACGGGGACAGACTTAGATGAATAGAATGTAAAAGAAACAAAAACATGGACAGTTAAAGACACAATATGTTTTTGTAGACACAACATTCAAAAGACTCTATTTTAAAATAATATTTGCGAATGACTTGATGATTTCGAGGGTTTCAGAAGAATTGCAAAATTAGTTTGAATTCATGTCCCCCGAGGAAAAACAAATGAACAAAAAGTACGGTACCAGATGTCTACAGTACTTCCGTGGGATAGGGATGAGAGAATTCAGATCTATAAACGGGGCCAAATAGTATCATGACCGATATTCTGAACAGCTAATTTTCTGCTGACACTCACACCGCCTGGCAGCATGAAACGAGAGTGTGGGTGGTGGTTGTAGTGTGACTCTCCTTCATCACTACTCACTCTCACACTGCAGGTACTGCGATCGGAAGATTCTGGGCTAGAGTGTTGTGAAAACAATGGACTATTCTTTGGAGGTATTTGCTCACTTTCCGTGATTCGGGCGCGATAACGGGAGATCTTTTTGTGGAGAGCTGTGTACATTCTGAGTTCAGTTTTCGTTATAGAATATGTGGCCGGCTAAAGGAAAACTCTACACTATTAGGACAAGTTTTTTTTTATAATTTTTTTTTTTTTTTTTTTTTTTTCAGTGTGTGCTAGATTATCCTAGACCTATTTATAAACATTATCATTACCATGAAGTGACGTCCAAATAAAGTTTGAAAATGTAATCACCCAATCATTGCCTTGCATTACCCACTCAGGCAGTATACCAATTTAAGGCTAGATCTAAATAAATTCTGCATCATCTGACACATTGGTCCGAGATATGGTTACTCGAAACTGACCTTTAAGAAAAGCTGGGCAAAACTTTGCGAAATCAAAGAAACGTCAAATTGTCTTCGAGCGTATATTGAAGAGTAGATCTATCACTATTGATAAAATGAACGTATGTTGTATATCAAATGAATGGGAAATTTTGTCTCTACAATAAGTTACAATTTTTTAAATATTTTGCTTAGGAGTCATTTGTTTGTGTGGGTCGCGAACCCTTTGGGAGTCGGATCTATTAGATTTTGGACATAATTATGTCATTTTACCCCAAATGTCACAATTGCAAAAAAAGCAAAAACAAAAAAAACAGGGGTTAAAAAGAGAGGGAGGGGGGGGGGGGGCTGGATTGGGAGCAAAGTCGATTTTCTTCAGCAGCAGTTTCACATACCTGTTGGATTCATATTGGGGATACTTACTGATGACAATCCCAACGTTGATATGATTTGATTTTCTTAAAAATGTCTGGTGGCATTGGCCCTGTCAGAAAGTGTTTTGCCATGCATTGAGATGTCTTCTTGAATGACACCATGACGAAAATAAGGGTAAGACATCATGTTCTAGCACTAGTGCGATGTAGTCCACTAAATCAAGCCATCCGGGGATTCACACTAATCACACGAGGGCGGTTTTGTTCATTCCACCCAAGACAACCAAAAACCATGGCAGTTTTGTGGTCTCTGTTCCTCACAGACAGATGCTTAGTCCAAAATCTAACTTAAAGTATCTAACGCAGTCCATGTGCAAAAAAATGTTGTCTACTCTACGCGAAACCAATAGCTCCTAAAGAAAACCCAATCATACTAATGAGCACCTCCAGGTTTGGCATGGTATGTGTGATTATTCTGTTTTCTAATTTGTTTGAAAATATCATTAGAATGTTTTGTTCATTGCAGAGACAATAACAATATTCTCGTTTCGTTTTATATTCAAATAATAATAATAGATAGCATTTGTACAGCGCAAATCCCCGCTCAACATCAAGCTGTATGCGCTTCACAATCCATACTATTACCACAGCAGACCTGAGAGCATTCTGAAACAAAATCAACATCCTGGGAAGCATACAGTGCATGTGGCCATTTATTGGCGCTAAAACACTAACATACTGACAAGATCTTTCGCTGTCTATGGCCGGGTACCTATACGTTCTTACACTACTGAGCGTCTAGCTGGGTACCCCTTTCCACCTGCGTGAAGTGAGGAAAAATCGTGTAAAGTGCCTTTCCCAAGGACACAATGTCGGGCCCGCGGCTCGAACCCGCGACCCAGCAACCTCACGATTACGAGTCCGGTAGCCTAACCACTAGGCCACCGACGCCACACATTCAATTGACGGTATTCAATATATTATTATTATTACATGTCCAATCCGCCAATGTTGATGCACTTCAATACACGCGCGAACACAGTTTTATGTTTCTTTGATTGCGCACAATTTTGCCAAGTCTGAATTTTTAGATAAATTTTTTGTGACCATATCTTGGGCGTCTTTTAATATAGATTAAATTAATACATGCATCGATGTGTCAGATAATGCCGAACTTATTTAGCGATAAATATTGGTATGCTGCATTGGTGTGTAGAGCATAATAATAATAATAATAATAATAATAATAATAATAATAATAATAATAATAATAATAATGATAATAATGATAATAATAATATTAATAATAATGAAAATGATAATAATAATCCGGTTGCATTCGATAATGAAAATAAAAACCTCTGGGACAAGTTTGCCATTTCCTTTTTACCAGGTTACTGTAGGTACGCAGCAAAAATGTTATAAACATTTACGACTAGATACGGCATCCCGTATCTAATATAACAATGCAGTGTGTGCTATTTATAAATGTTTTCTTATGGGACCAATAAAAATATTTGTACTTACGAGCCCCGGGCGCCATGAAGAGATAGCCCATACCTGGCTTGCGCCGTTATAAAACAAGAACACTGAAATAAATACACAGTGTGTGTATAATAATATAGATATCTAATAACAATATATTAATTAAAAGAAAAAACACGAAAAGAGATACCGTGTAGTGTATATATTATTATAACAAGAACTGTAAATAGCCTTTGGGGGACATGTCCAACTGCGGTGATGTCAACAACGTCAGCGACATCAACAACATCAACAGCACAGCCACGAGAGGATGTTACTTAGAGAAGCCCAATTCTGTGGTAAACGAGTCGGACATATGGCCATGGCGGGTAGGGCTGTACGGTATTGGGGGCTCCTGTATCGCGTGTGTTGGGCTGGTGTGTAACAGCATCGCCGTGCTCGTCCTGGCCAACTACGGGTAAGTTTTGGTGATGCTGATGATTCAAAGCTTTCCCCCCCCCCCTTTTTTAAACTTTTTAAAATATTTTTTTAAATTACAAAAAAAGTTTTGCCTGTACATTTAGTTGATTTACGTCTATGTTTTTGTTTTGGGTTTTTCCTTGCATGTTTTGTTCTTCGGTCTGAAAAAATACTGAAATGGTTTTTCTCTAGATTTTATTTTATTTTATTTAGTGAGAGGGGGGGGGGGGGGGGGGGGTGGGGTTGATGGTGTTGTTTTTTTGGTGCTTTTGTTTTGTTTTGTTGGGATTTTTTTTGTTTGGGGGAGGGGGGGGGGTAAGGGGATGTAAGAGGGTTAGGGATTATGTTTATGAGGATTTATTTTTGTCTTGTAATCTTTGTTTTGAGTTTTTTTTTCCTTCTTTTTTTTTTGGGGGGGGTGGGATGGAGGGATCGATTTTTACATAGTAATACAGGCTCATTCACAAACATCTTTATTATTATACAATGTATTATTAAGTGTCCATTCACACATCCCCTCCCCTCCCCACCCCTTTAACACATATTTCAATATTCGTATAATGTATACAGAAACACAAACTCTTTCCACCCCCCTCTCTCTCTTTCTTTCTCTCTCTCTCTCTCTCTCTCTCTCTCTCTCTC